TTGAAGGTCATTAAACATAAACCACAAAAGTTCAAACTACGAAATTGCTTATTATTATTTGAATTAAGAGGGTTATAATAGAGTCGAATCCTGAAAGGGACTTTTTTTTTTTCTCAATATCTAAAGCCTGGTTAGCCATAGAATCGCTACTCAGTCGTTGCACTGCGTAGCTGTCCCTGACGCAATCAGGAATGCCCCCTGATTCAACTAACCAATCAGTGTCGCCAAAGAAGTCAGCGATACGTGTAGCGATTTTCATGGAAACAGGCTTTCCATGTTAAATGATGCCTTTTTTACTCTGTATGCTTTTTAGCGGTATTGGTGTGTTAGGCTCTTTATATGTGTGCACAGTTGTTGTTATTAAGTACTTCACAAATGGACCAGCAGAAAATATTCATGTGGCCACGTCACCGGACACTTGGCAAGATGTCTTCATTGCTGTACCTGCCATTTGCTTTGGTTTCCAGGTAATCTCTAAATTTGATCTCAATTCTCTTGTTTTTATAGTCACATAATTCATTTGATATATTCTGTTTGATTTCAGATTCATTAACAACAATTGTCCTTAAAAGAAAATTACAACTGTGTGCACGCAAACATTTTTTGCAAATTCCATTCTGACTATAAATATTCATTTTATTTTTCAACAAAATTGAATTAATTCATTTTGATGAATTAAAAAAATGGTACCAGCTTGAAACAACAAAAATTGTGTATTATTATATTACATACTGGTACAGTACATTCTATGTATAATAACAATATTAAATAGTGATTTAGTGAGATCAAAGAGTATCAACAGAACAAGAGAGCTTACTCCCGTTTGTAAAAATATCACTCCAAAAGTTACGATGCAAGTCGACATCATCGTTATGTAGGTCGCCCACTATGTATGAGTTCACAGAAAGTGCACCATCTTCGATGGTATCATGATAAAGAAAAATAACGAAATATACTGCCCTCTGCTTAAGAATTGTATCATGTGGAAAACAGATAAACAAACAAACTACGCTGCAGTACTGGGTAATAAATAGCGTACAAACGGCAGTGGGTGTACTACACTGGCTGCATATGGCGTATCGTTTTTTTTTTTTACGATCTAAATGAGCTTAGTTTGTTCTCTTGTTCTATTTATACTCTTTAGTGAGACCTGTTTTCAGCAATCATGAGAACATTTTCATTTCATATATGTATTTCCCACAATAAGCATTGTTGGGACTTATAAAGAAAAAAAAATCTCAAATATTATCCTTATTTTTTTCCCTTTTCTCTATCATAGTGTCATATTAGTTCGATCCCTGTCTACGCAAGTCTGAAAAAACGTACGGTGGCGCAATTTTCCAAAGTGTGTGTAATAGCTTTGTTTTTAGCTTTTACCGTGTACACTTTAACAGGCATCTTTGGGTCATTGACCTATGGTACAAGTTCGTGTAGCGATATACTCAAGTCTTACGATGCGGATGATGTTAGCATGACAATCGCCAGAATCATGATTGCAGCGTCTGTTTTAACTGCTTACCCAATCCTACATTTTTGTGGCAGGTATGTCAATCAATATCAACATCAGTAAAATCAATGTCAATGTCAGTGAATATAAATTAATTTCAAATATCAATTATTTGCAGTCAATGTCAAGGAACGTATTTATTCGAATAATAATAAACCATCCACTTGGAATAAATTCCCCCCTCGAATTAAAGCACCCTTTAGAGCTTCATTTGGAATAAACGCCTCCCTTGAATAGACGCCACGATGCATTTTTTTTTTTTTTGAATAAATGCCCTTAAATGACATAACAAATCAAATGGAAGCAACATCATTCTCAACACATTCTATTAATGTTCTGTAATTACATTTTTTCAAACATGCATGTAGCGTATTAT